TTTCTGAGAGCATTGTAATATCAATATATAGATAATTTTTAACGGTTATTGAGCATATTGCAAATAAAACGGATATATCAAACAATAACAGATGTATTTCTGTAAATCAATAAATGTACAAAAAATGCATTGTTTGTATCGCTAGTGAAATGAAATGGTATTTTCGTTGCAAGGCTGCCGTAAACTTCAAAACCATAAATATGAATCATTATTCATTCTTTGTTTCTATTCATGACACCATTTTTTAAATAAAATATATCTCCTAACTTTTAACAGTAGCAATTTTTTTCACATATCCACAAAAAATACACATGGCCATGTTTGTAACCTTATTTACCATTTTAAAAGTGATGATATTTCCCAATATCTATTAAAAATTAAAAATGAACAAGTACCTAATAAAGACTATTTAAAATATTTTAAGCAATTTATGTTAAAATTAAGTGTGTATTACCCAAGCCGAATAAAAAATCATTGCTTTTGAAACCTGTATGCAATGAAGTCGATTAAGGAAAAAAACTACTGTATATTAATATTTTGCTAACAGTTAGACATAGACATAATGTTTATTTTAAAATGTTTCAATTAAGGTTTTTGTAAAATTATAACAGACCGAATTAGGCAATTTTAGTAACTATTAGATAAAATAAGGGAAGTGTATTTTTTATTAATTAACTTTGTTTATCTCATATCAGCATCGAATAAAACTATAATAACATGTAGTTATTTGTTGATAATATGCGTTGCTCCCACTGACTATTACTTTTAAAGATATTTTCAATGTTAATGCCTTAATATATTTGAATTAAACAAATCAAATTCTTTGAAATTAAAAAAATATCAATACCACCAATAATCAGACTTACCTAATTATAAAAAATTGTATCTAGCCCAATCTTTAGCTTATTACCCATTTGAATTTTGTTTACATGAATGAATTTCCTGATTTTGTGAATATAGTTCAGATATTAATTATTATTATCGTTACCAAATGTAGGGAAAATACCATATTTGACTAATATTTAATATCTATAAAGCTATACTATCTATACTAATATCTATATATCTATACTAATTTTGCATTGACATTGACTTTCATGTTCTTTCCTAGAGCATGCAAATTATGTTCATAAAAGAAAACAATTGGTTACGCAACTCGTTCTGCTTCTGTAAACTACTTGTTTATATTATACAAATATATCATTTCAAGTCAGTCGATGGCTTATTTAATCCTATTATCACAATAGGTAATTTTATTAATTTTATTGCATATTCTGGAATACCACTTAAACCTGCATAATAATCTTCAATGTTTTAAAGTCGTTAACTTTCAAAATTTATGTTGTTTGACAGCATCAGCGAATAGTACAAAAAATTAATATGCATATTAGAAAATACATGGGGAATTACCGCAATTTTTTAAGCTGTTGATTCACATTCAATTATAATGGGTTGTCGAGCAGATAATCCATCTCTATGATTTAAAAGTGAAGATGGGGATATTATGTAAGTAGGTAAGATAAATAAATTAAAATTTAATTTGATGAATGGAAGTTGACGATCACGGAAGTAAAGTACCTAATAGAAACTTACTTAGTTATCGAAATAGATTTGTATGAAATCCGGCAACAATTTATCGTAAATATTATTGTAAATATGTCTCCTTCATTTATATATAGTTTCATTGAAAAATAATATTAATAAGTTTACAAATGCAAAGTATATCTGACAACGAGATGATAAACTTATGGATTAAAAACAGAAAAATACGAATATTTATTATAAAAAAAATTAACACCTTAGTTTTCGACCTTATTTAAAACTTCCCAACCGATATTTTGGCGATTTTTTCGAACAGTGATATTTTATTTTATGATGTCATAAGGGTATAAACCACTATCGTGTATACATATATTAACTCGGTATAACATATAATTCAATAAAAAAATATGTATACATTTAGTTTTTCATTTATATCAGATAGGAATTCACACAACTTTGCCCTAACCATTTTTTTTATATTTGCAGTACAAAATTTAGACACCCATTAGTTACGATCACAAATATGTATAAAATTGTAGATGCCAAAGAAAAAATTTTTAGGTTTTCGTTACATATTTATTCCAAAGCATCCAGAATAATTTGAAAAAAAAAAATATTCAGCTTTAGATACAGCATTATTATTACCTCAAAGTACTAAATCAACTCAAAAATATTCTAATACAGTAAAAAGGCCTAGTTTAATATCGAACTTTTATATTTCTATGAAAGAGAATTAAGTGGCTAAGCGAGAAAAATATTCTTAGCGGTACTTACCACTTCCAAAATAAAAGTTACACTATTTTGACCAAATCGAGTTGACTTGACTTGCTCAAAAAGAACACTTCCTCACATAAGTAAGTGCGAAATTGTAATGTGAAGAAGAAAACACCGTCTCGTGGGTTAGAATTCCTTTCCCCAAATGTTATCACTAACCAAATATGTTGACCGAATTAGCTATGGATGAAACCATCTCTCGCCGGTAGTAATTTGTTATTAACAGAAACGGTCAAGTGTAATTCCCAACGCTGTACACTTGTAATTTGCAATAACAATGTCGATTCGATTTTCAAGGTGTATACAGGGAGTTACCGATATAGAATGTTTGCGGAAGTTGTTTGTCATTTGATTTGATCAATGTAAATAGGGCATTCCAAGCCAAGTCACTGAAATCGTGACCGGACCATTTTTAATTTTCCTGATTTTTTGGTATTATTTAGTACCTATTTAGGGTACTTTTCACGANTACCGATATAGAATGTTTGCGGAAGTTGTTTGTCATTTGATTTGATCAATGTAAATAGGGCATTCCAAGCCAAGTCACTGAAATCGTGACCGGACCATTTTTAATTTTCCTGATTTTTTGGTATTATTTAGTACCTATTTAGGGTACTTTTCACGATTTTTTGTCAAATTTTTATTTCGACCTGTCAAGAAGTTATGAGTATTTGAATATTTGGGGAAAAAAATTCCATGAACTTTTTTTTCCATTTTGTTCATTTTGAGATGCATTTTTATCTAAAAATAATACAAAAATGATACATTTTTCTTCGAAAAATTCTCAAAATCATGTTCCAATATGCAAATTTATATGAGATAGGGTCCAGAGCAGGATATTTTTTATTCTATTTTATTATACAAATAAATCGCTATGATTAATTACAAAAATACCATATTTTTAAAACTACTTCTGCTAATTCTAAATATCTAAATTATTATTAACTAAATATTCCGATTTATTTTTTCAATGTTAAAAAGTTTGTTTTCCATAAAGTGTTTGACGTAGATTGATGAAAAATGGAGTAATGACTAAACAAATTATAGAAAAAATTACGCCGAGTAGATGCACAAATCTGTCAACCTATGTCAAAGTCCTTGGCAGATATCATCACTAAAAGCTTCAGAATTTCGACTCCACTGAATATTTTAGAATTCGGATAATGTTAATTTTATTTTTGATGTTGAGAAAAAAGTATGTTCTGTTTTATTCGAAAAATTAACCATTTTTAAAATTTAAAATAATACATCGACATTATTGAATAAGTCCAAATAAACTCCAAAATTATTCGTTAAAAAAATGTTTGTTTGGTTTGTTACAGTAGTTCCGATAAGAGAACTTTATTGGCTCATTTTTTTCTTGGAATCTCAACAAATATCGTACGGACTGGTATATTTTTTCGAAAATTCATTACCTTTAATTTAATTTTAGATGTTTACAAACAATCTGATAAAATTGCAAAAGAACTTTTCAAAATATTTTTTGGGTTGTGTCAAATTTTTAATACGAATTTTCTATTTCAATAAATGAATCTACGTTTACACATTTATTGTCAGATTTAAAGATATTTATAACAGTTTATATTTATGCCTTAGTTTAAGTTCAAGGAAAACTGCAACCGTTATAATTAATTTTGCCAGTTGCGTAAGTTACGCAATATAAAATTGCCCAATTATTGGAAGTTCGGCGTATTTTTATGAAACAGGTATTTTCTACACACACTCTTAAAAAAGTAAAAAATCGCATAGTTTAAGCATACATTAATTCCTCTGGAAAAGCAGGCAAAAAATATTTATATAAACTTCCTTTGAAAATGCATCTTTTCACAAATTTTTTGAAAAATACTTCAAAACGCGCAAAGAGGATGACTTTTACAAATCTTTGAACTACCCTCGTTGTTCTCGGACTAAGTTTTGTGGGAGCGACACACTTCAGAACCTCTAGACTCACTATCGATTGATATCGGCTTTTTGCTGGTTCTAAGGTCGTTACGAACGGAAGCGCTCCTCAGAGAATGGTGGTCTTTTGAGTGGTTCCATGCTGGCCTCCGTAACTGGTCGCATCTGATACTTCTAAACATTAAATTGTTCTTCACTGCCGGCACCATTGCCTGAGGAGCGGCTGCATCCGTAGCGGCTTTAGTGCCAACAACAGGAACCGAAATGAATAATGAATCGAGTGCAGGTCCACCCCCACAGAGCCTAGCCCGAGAACAACAAAGCCATGCCAAAGATTCCCACGGAAATGCAAAGTAAGTCTGTAATGACAGCATCCAGTTACATAGGCCACGGGGGACAATACTTTTCATATAAACTAACTGCTAGATCTATTTTTTTTAAACAATTGTGAACTTTATTACAACAGCACATTTACAAAAAAAATACTCTAGTCAAATTTTCAGATATTTTTATATTTTGATGTAAATTGCTTAATGATATTACAGTTTCTTTTTGTTTTGCAAAAAAATACTGTTTTTTCAAAAGAATTTTAATGAATGGGCTAACACAAAGAAGTAAGTAAATCTAAAGAAGGTTAAAATACAAAAATAATAACGGACATTAATTAAACATACAAATATGTAAACATAGTTTAACAATATTATAGTAAATTTTGAAAAAAAAAGAAAACCTTGACGGTTAGATTTGAGGGTTGTTTTCGGTGTGCAGCAAAATGAAACTCTATCAACGGTAAAAATAAAAGTATTTTTATTGAAAACAAAGTGTAGTGAAAAGAAATATTGTCGGGGCGAGTGTTCGCTGAAGAGTCCTTTTTGTGGAGTCGCTCGCAGGTATATGTATTCAGACCCTCACGCCAATCTGCCGTAGTCCTTTTCCTGAACCGTAGTCTAAGTATGTGTCCCGCTTGCAACGGTTAGACCGGTCTTGCGTCAGGCTGGTGCTCTTAACATGATACTTAAGATTTACACAGATTTAAAGACTATGCAAATGAAATCAGAAAGAACAATTTTCAGATAAGAAAAACTGTAGTTTCTTCTATGAAAATTCTCTATATTTTTTTCGTATTTCAGGCAAAATCAAGTAAGCCGTACAATCAATCAACTTCATTTACGAGTATATTCGATTTTTATTAAACAATTCTCTGTCATATATACAAAGCCAAACAATATTTCAACCGTTTTAATAAAAAAAAATAATAAATACTAATATAATATTCACAAAAAAATATAGGTATCACAGTCTTCTAAATAATCTCACACTCTAGTGATGCTACCTGTAAACAAATTATATCGTCACATAAATATTTCTTTTTCATAATTACAAGTATTTACCCTCAAAAACGTCTTCTAAAAGTCCTCCTCTAAAATTCTCACTCAGTTTCGCATCGATGCCAAGGATAGACTCTCTCACGGATTTCTTGAAATTGAAGAAAATCAGTTTCTGATTCCTTCCTTCCAGTTCATCCTTCAAAGAGTGGAAACTCTGCAATGATAGACAGATGTCAATAGCTGGAGAGAACGTTATTAAATAAAGTTTAGGATACATTTACACTGGCTTGAATGATCATCGCGATTGAAAACTGAATATGTAAACAGTGATTGGATGACTGGACTATATGCAACATTTTTCGCGAATTCCATAACTGGTGCTTCTGTTTTGTGACTACATTTCGATCTTTTTCTTTAGGGTAATTGTTGTTGTAAATAATTGTATTTTTTAGAATTTCACGATTTCAAAAGTACGTCCACAACATAACCATAAATAACATCATTCAAAATTCAGGTGACACACAGTTTTCAATTATTTATTCAATGACCGTTGAAGATACAAGCTTCAAACTGGGTTCAAAGCAGTTCTCTTCAGATAAATTTTTAACAAATTTTAACCAGCGAAATTAGAATTTTTTTGTGGTGTAGATAATTTGATATCCAAGTTTCAATGTCGCTGATTACACTTCACTCAAACGTTACAAGTTGGGTCACTTTAGCCATTTTAAACTCTCTAGTATTACTCATCAAAATTTATTTTTTACATTCCTTTTTTGAAGGGAAGAATCGTTTCAGCACAGAATAATCTGTTCTTTAATAAACTCAAAATACTTCTTCTTACCTTTGCCACTGTAGCGTCAATATTCCCCACGTATTCTCCATTCAAAACAACTGCTACGTCTTCTCCACAACACGTCTCCAAAATTTTCTCTCTGATGTGTTCAGCCGCCGCATAGTGTAATCCTGTTTTGGAGGTGACCACGAAACCATCCCCGTGAGCGGTGGAGATCTCTTCTATCTGTAACTTTGGCCGGGCGGTAGCATACAGGACGAATATCATGTTGGTTGCAATGCCGATAAAAATGCCATATTCGAGACTAAGGAACAGAGAGCTGCTGATTGTGATAATCAAGGGGATCAGGTCAGTCTCTGAAACAAAGTAATGTTTCATTAGAATTCGTTGTCATTAAAATCGGATATTGGATAATACAAGTAGAAAATGCAACTTATATTGTGCATCCATAATCCAGTACGGAAATTGTGCTGTTCATTTCGCTTAGTGTTCCTATATGTTTAGACTGCGCGCGCGCTCTTGTAACCCTCAACTTCTAGCGGAGGCGTGTCAGTGCGTGTCATAAGCATACAAGTGGGAAAAACGTGTTATTATTTTCACATTTTAATTATTTTAGTGATTCCAAAAAGCTTGTCAATATGGAATTATGTACGGGTGTTAGTGGCCAATCAGGGTGTTGGTGAATTTAATATGTCGGTAAGTGATGCCGTGGAAATGTGCAGTTCTTTAGTAAAGGCGTGTCAGAAATGTTTATTGTGCGTCAAAAAATGACAAAAGTATAAAAAAGGAAAAGGTCGGTCATATGGCAGGAAAAAATAAACAGTGATGTTAAATATTTGCTTGTCCCGACTAGTTTTACTATATGAAGTGAATTTTCGTTACTTGTAACGAATTCGAAAAAGTGTACAAACAGAAAAAAACAAAATTGTATTGTGGCGTACTTTGGAAAAATAATACCTCATACCTCCGAAACAATTTATTATCTCTATAAAACGTGGATGAGGAGACGATGTTAAAAGTATAATTAATTTTAAGGAGTAGCACAAAAAGAGAAAACCGAATACATGAAATATGTAGTGGGTGAAGTGACTAAAGCTCGCGGTGTTAGTCTTCTTCTATTGCCACCGTGAGCTGGACCCTACTGAATTAATCTCGACGAATATAAAACTTATGCCTAAAAGAAAAAAATGAATTGCAAAAATAAGTTGTGATAGAATCACTTATCATACCTTTAAGTGACACTGTGATATCGGTAGTGCCGGTGATAATGATAGCGATAACAGTCATTAGTAATTTAATTCGATTTCAACTAATACTTACAACGGTTATATCTATGATATCGACGGTTTATCTAATTTTTCAGTGATTTTACTGATTTTGTGTCGCGGTACTGTTATAATACTACGTAAATATAAGACCACTTGCCCAGTTACTAAAAGTGCTAGTTATGTTACATAATAAAAAACGAAGACAGAAGTGTACGCAGGTGACAGTAGGTCATCCTTGCATATGAGCGACAAATTGCTGAATTTAGTATAAATAAAAAAGTACCTGTCTACCTATTAGATATTTGAAAATGCCAAGGTAAAATCTACTAGTTTGTACCAAATTCGACATATCTTTTTGTTGTTCTATATCTATCAATTTTTGGAACCCACTAAAATGGTACGCCCATGGAATCGTACTCCCCACACGCCTTACCCGTACTACGAATAAGTCACAGTTTACTATTTTGGTACTGAATTTGATTCAATTTTTCTTTCCAATCAATAGTTATGCATATTTTTGTTTAATTCGCAGGGATAGCGAAATGTAAGTTGTTATTGTTTCTGGTAAAACTATGTGTTCTTAATTTTATTTTGTCAACTTTGGTATTCTAGAACCTACTTTTTGTCCTCCAAAGTAATGGAAAGGCCTCAAATTCGCACAAATAGAACATGGCGACTATGATCACACCAGCAAGGGTCGCTTTGGGGATGTAGGCGAATCCTGAAGTCAGAAATGCCAACGCAAGCAGAACCATGATCCCAGTGACAATTCCGCTGACGGTTGTTTTTGCTCCTGACGCGTGATTCACGGCTGTTCTAGTGAAAGACCCAGTGATTGGCATCGACTGCACGAAAGAGGACATCACGTTGGACAGTCCTAACGATATGAACTCTTGAGTCGCATCCACAGAACGGCCTTTAGCTGAAATAAGTTTGTTAAGTGAATCGGTTAAAGTAAAGTTTCCTGTTGAAACTTACAGAATGCCTTTGCTATGGCAATGTGTTCTACTACTGCTATAATTGGAGTTGAGGCTAGAGAGGCTCCATATGTTTCCACAACATCGAAGAAGCTGTAATATGTTCCGTTGTACGTGATGCTGAAAGGCGGGAGTTTAAATGGTGGCAAACCTTGCTCTACCGATCCTGAAATCAGAAGTTAGATGGTAGTTCGTTTCAGTGATAGATTTTTTGCTGCAGCAAAACAGAGTCCGAGAATGTGACTTTTTTTATGAGGTACACATACCTACTATTGTTCCGCTGATCGTTCAAAAATCCAAAGAAAATGTTAAAAACAAATCACTAATTTTATGTATTGCAATTGATGCCTCAAAATGCTTCAAAACTGGTTGAACCAGTACTACCACATTGAATATACCTCCAAAAAAATGAACACTAAAATATGAATCATTTCATGGATTATAGCAAGGACAAAAATATGAGCTCTTTCTTGAAAATTGTAAAGGCGTAATTTATAAAGCACTGTTACTGACCATCAACTGTTAAATACTGACCATCAACCATTGCAATTAAGCACCATGTTGACATCTAAATTTCTGAATATTAATTCCTTATTGGAAAGGAAAACTGATGATAACAAGACCAAAAAGATTTTAGCTGTGAAAGAAGTCGAGGAATCCATTCTAGAAGCTTCAGATAAAGAATAGTTAATAAAGGTGTTACAAAACATGAATTTTGATTTGGTGTACATGTCACTTCTCTAATTTTATAAGTTGCTTCATTATTTGGTATTTGTGGTGTCTAAGCTTTTAATCAATCGTACCTTATCTGAAAACCAAGAGACTAAGATCATTTGAGCTTGAAAATGTGCTTGAATGTGAAAACCAAAAAATATAAACCGTGATTTTCCTTCGAATACCAGATCGGGAAGGGTTATAGACAGAAAATAAAAATTCATCTATTTTGAAAATACTACAAGATTGCCATACGGAAAGGAATTTTCCTAACAGTTATTTTTCAACAACTATAGGTACCGTACGAGCCTAAAGTATGGAATAAATACAGTAAAAACGAAACAAATTTTTTTTTGAGAAAAATCCTCGAACCCGTCGATTTTTAATTTAAAAAATACATATTTTAGCATAAAAGGCGATTTTCAACCGTCATTTGTTTTCGAGTAATGACGTCATCGACATTTTTTTTAAATAGCAACCCCCTATTTTTTTCTTGATTCTGAAAGATCGTTTCATTCTCAAACGGACAGTATTAAAATCTTACCATCTTACATAGGAAAGTTTTCGAGTAAATCACGATTGAATGTTAGAAAACCCAAATCAATTAAAATAAAGCAAAAACGTTATCAAATTTAGTTTTTCGAAATGCCTGAAGTTTTTTTTATGGATCACGTAGATGTAAATCTTTACAAAGGGTCACTGTCATACGGACTTTCTAAGTATTGTAAGCGATATAAAAATTATTGAATTTAAAAGTATTATGGCACATTTAACTGTCACACAAAGAATTGAAATTTTAATTCTTATCGGATGCGGGGATAAGACTAGAACGCAGCAGGAAGTTGGCGATTTATTTAATGAAAAACATCCAGATCGCCGTATCAGCCAATCAACAGTCAGTAAGATAGAATCTAAATTTAGAGAAACTGGCAATGTTGTAGATATTCCAAAACCTGGACTTTCAAGCGTTAGTGAAGATCACAGACAACATTTTGATAAGTATGGTAGATAATCCTCATAATACTTCTCGATTGGTTGCATTAAACAATGAAATTAGTCAGACCACAGTGCTACGTATCCTGAGGAATGAAAAATATCATCCCTACAAAGTTGTGCAGGAACTCAATGAAGACGATCCCGATCGCTGCTTACACTTTTGTGAAATTATGATGGATTTATGTCAAGTAAATAGAGATTTACACCTGTAAATACTTTTTTCAGACGAGGCCACGTTTTGTCTCAATGGTACAGTGAACCGTCAGACTTGCAGGTATTGGAGTCGGGAAAATCCTCATTGGATGGCAGAGACACACAGCCAACACCCACAGAAATTAAATGTGTGGGCTGGAATAGTTGGCAACAGAATAGTAGGGTCTTTCTTCTTTGAAGGAATCCTTACAGGAGAGAGATATTTAGACTTTTTACAAAATGACCTTGGTCCAGCGCTTGCAGTAATTTTTTCTAACGATAATGACCCTGATATTTCCGATTACACCATATGGTTTCAGCAAGACGGTGCACCTCCACACTATGCACGCCCTGTTCGAGATTTTCTGGACAATTGTTTTCCTAGGAGGTGGATCGGCAGACGAGGACCGATAGAATGGCCTGCGAGATCGTCAGATCTTACTCCCCTGGACTATTTCTTATGGGGCTACTTAAAGTCCAAAGTGTACGTTAATAGACCACATAATTTAGAAGAACTCCAAAATTGTATTATGGATGAAATACACAGAGTTACNAGATATTCCAAAACCTGGACTTTCAAGCGTTAGTGAAGATCACAGACAACATTTTGATAAGTATGGTAGATAATCCTCATAATACTTCTCGATTGGTTGCATTAAACAATGAAATTAGTCAGACCACAGTGCTACGTATCCTGAGGAATGAAAAATATCATCCCTACAAAGTTGTGCAGGAACTCAATGAAGACGATCCCGATCGCTGCTTACACTTTTGTGAAATTATGATGGATTTATGTCAAGTAAATAGAGATTTACACCTGCAAATACTTTTTTCAGACGAGGTCACGTTTTGTCTCAATGTGAACCGTCCGACTTGCAGGTATTGGAGTCGGGAAAATCCTCATTGGATGGCAGAGACACACAGCCAACACCCACAGAAATTAAATGTGTGGGCTGGAATAGTTGACAACAGAATAGTAGAGCCTTTCTTCTTTGAAGGAACCCTTACAGGAGAAAGATATTTAGAGTTTTTACAAAATGACCTTGGTTCAGCGCTTGCAGTAATTTTTTCTAACGATAATGACCCTGATATTTCCGATGACACCATATTGTTCCAGCAAGACGGTGCACCTCCACACTATGCGCGCCCTGTTCGAGATTTTCTGGACATTTGTTTTCCTAGGAGGTGGATCGGCAGACGAGGACCTATAGAATGGCCTGCGAGATCTTCAGATCTTACTCCCCTGAACTATTTCTTATGGGGCTACTTAAAGTCCAAAGTGTACGTTAACAGACCACATAACTTAGAAGAACTCCAAAATTGTATTATAGATGAAATACACAGAGTTACCCCAGAAATAATTCATAATGTGCAAGAAGAATTTCTACACAGACTTGCGTATTATCAAGATATCGGTGGGTGGCAATTCGAACACTTAATTTAGGTAGAAAACTTAATGAATTGTATTTGCTTGACATAGGAATTGTTATTTTTTTAATGAATAAAATTTACGTTTTCTAACATTCAATCGTCATTTACTCGAAAACTTTCCTATGTAAGATGGCAACATTTTAATACTGTCGGATCGACAATGAAACGATCTTTCAGAATCAAGAAAAGAAATAGGGGGTTGCTATTTAAAAAAAAAATGTCGATAACGTCATTACTCGAAAACAAATGACGGTTAAAAATCGCCTTTTATGCTAAAATATGTATTTTTTAAATTAAAAATCGACCTGTTCGAGGATTTTTCCCAAAAAAAATTTGTTTCATTTTTACTAAATTTATTCCATACTTTAGGCGCGGTATTGCACTATTGACTTTATTTACACGAAATTTTGTCAGAAAAATGCCAAAATTTTTCAACGATCAGCGGAAAATAGAATATAAACATTTTTCTAAAAATAGCCGAAAGCTTGGAAGAAAATATTATTAATAAGACATTGTAAATACCTGTCAATGAAAACAAAGAATATCCTTTCTTGTGGTAAAAATAGGCAATTACTGAACTGGTTACAACGACAATAGCATTTCTAGATAGGCAAAATATGTATATGAACCTCCCAATGTAGTTTTTCCTTTTCGACCAGTCCTTTCGGTAAGAAAGTGTACCGTATCTGTTACCTATTTCCTAAAACAGAAAGATGGTTTTTATAATACTCGCGTTATTTTTTTGTTGTTGTTAGATACTAAAAATATTGATTTATCAATTAATCTACCTTGACTATGAACAAAAATACGATAGTGATGCACCCCAAAACCAGATCCCACTTCTTGAACTCCGACCCGTGTTTTATCACAGTCCTCCAAGATCCTAAGAAGGAATCATTATTTCCCTTGATTCCCAAAAGAGTTTTTACTTGGGACGAAGCGATCTCGATAGCAGCGGCAGTTGTGAAGGCGGCTGTGACTGGGTAGGAGAAAAAATCCACGACAAATCCTAAAAGAAAATGTTAATTGCAAATATTTTTCTTCTACATTGTTAGTTTTTGGTTTCTGAAGTTTTTCCACTGAATGGACTAATATACTCAGGGAGAGGTGTATTTTGATGACATTTTTACCTAAATTCATCAGTCCTGCTAGGAAAATAAAGCATCCCGTCATAAAGCACATCAGGACAGCTCCCTCTGACCCTAGAGCCGACACTGTGCTTTTTGACATAAGCGCCATGATGGCGGTGGGTCCTATGTTTATAATTCTGCAACTTCCAATAACGATGTATATGAAACACCCCATACACCCACTGTATAAACCGTATTGCGTTGGTAGTCCTAGAATTTAACACTTTGTTGGTTAAAATGATTAAAATTTGGTCAAAAAATTTACCTGCAATCACTGCATACGCTATTCCCTGCGGTATTTCCGTCAGACTCACTGTGAAGCCGGCCAGCAGATCCTGCAAAAATAGTCCTAGAGTATAGGTTGGCAGCCATCCAATTATCGGTATCCTTCTTTTCAGAACTTGTTTCACCTTGATTTTCTTCCTGGCTTTGATAACTGAAAGAATTATCGTGATTCATTTGGAAGAAAGCAGATTTACATTTAATTCCTTGTCAATCAATCAATCAATTGTAACATAATCTATAAGTGGTACTTAAGATTTCCAGATAAGTCGTTACGGGAAAATGTTGACCAAAGTTGAGTACATGATGTGAATTCATACATTTTTTTAAGTAGGGGCATTGATCTTGCCTCTTATGAATGTATATGGGATTCCTTTAAATGGATGTTTAGCTACAAAATTTATATGTGCAGTAAAAATCACGTTTTCATTGTAAATACACGTAAGTAAATTTTATAACCAAATCAATGTCACGAGAACAAAATTCAAAACGCAATAATTTTATAAAAATGTGCAAACATAGTAAAATGTCTGTATTTTTTGATAAATTTAGTTTCATATTATTAATGTCCAATTAATTCCAACAAATCCTATCAAATGATGTCAAATGACATTCTTTGATACTAGAAATCTAGGTATGCAAAGGTCTTCCAACTTCACAGAAATGATTCCTAACTGCTGGTACTGAAAGTATGAGTGAAGTTATTTTGCTGTTGAATTTCGAGTGATCTTTAGATTTTAACAAATAAAACAGTTTTAGTTAGTTCAGATATGTGAGAATGAGAATAATTGTGTAAAAATCGCACCATTCGTTGTAGATACTACGCAATTCTAAGTAGGGCGAACAAAAAGTTATGCACAAACTGATACCGCTGCGCAGATTGGATTCTGCTGTCAAATATATACGTAGTATTGATTTCAGTGACATAATTGAATATTTTTGCTGATGATACCGTTTTGAAACTTTACTATTGTTTATTGTATAATATCTTTTGTAGTCACAAAAATTAAAGGATAAAAAAATCCTAAATTTTTAGGTGATTTTCAAAAGGCTGTAACTTGAAAAATGGTCGTAGAGCAATAGAAGAGCAAGTTGAAGCTTGAAATTTCTAGTTTCAGGATTTGATAGTCGGAAATTGTTATCGTCGACCACGTTTAAGAATTCATAAAAAATGCAGCGAACATTTTTTTTCCAAAATATTTACTTCCCATTCAAAGGGTCCACGGACTTCAACATTTTTTTGGGCAATCCTACCTGTCAGCGCTTTTAGTTTGATTCACCCTCTTCAATTTGAGGTAATCAAGAGCTTTGTTCAATTTCGGAAAAGTTAAATTTTCCAGTGAAAATGTCCAAATATGGGTCAAAACTGAATTTTTTCCTAAATTTTGTCCAAATATATCATTTTCGTAGTATTTTGAGGCGTCGAACACGATACCATTAGTAAACTTTACCCATGACCTCGATATCTCTCAGAAAATTCACTATTTTGATGAAAAATTGGCCTAAATATGGGTCAAAACTGATTTTCCTAAATTTTGTCCAAATTAGTTTTGACCCATATCTCTTGGGTTTGGACTTTTTTTTGTGTGCCTCGGAAAACAACGATCATATAGAAAATCTAAACAGGGCTTTGAAAACTTCAAGTACCCTCTATAAGACACTCTTATTGTTTTATGATAAAAAAATTTCGATGCAAGAAACTTGATTAAACTTGAGGCAACTTTACAAATAATGACTACATTCAGTATATTTTCGTCTTTTTTACCTTGAAAGTATCCTAAAGAATACCTCAAATTGCTGCGATTTTTCTTTCATTGTGATCCGAATTTTCCATTTTTATTCATTTTCTTAAATTGAAAATCAAGATCCTCAAGAAATGTTAAATATCAGATCCTAAAACTAGAAACTTCATTCAATTTGCCTTACAATAATGTTTCATCAAGTTACAACCTTTTGGAAATCATCTAAAAATTTAGGATATTTTTATCCTTTAATTTTTGTAACTAGTTTGATATATAAAAAATATAATTGTAAATTTAATGACGCCTAAAGATTGTTTTAACATTTAACAAAAATACAAATTTGTAATTGGAATATAGGTATGTTGCATTTCATTAGAAAACTATAACGTGTATTTTGTTTCTATAGAAGACATTTTTAATTCGTAACAACATGCCGGATTTAGTGCATGTCATCTAAAAACATTATCAAGAAATAGTACTGAAAATAAAAGAAACATTTTAGGGATAGGTAGAAGAAGCGATTAAATGTAGAAAAAGTGAAGTTGAGAAACTTATGAACAAAGACAACATTTACTAGATAATTAGCTTAAACAGGGGCAAAGTTGCGTAATCAGCTTCTAAAATCAAGGCCATGCCTCTAAAAAATCAAGGCTAATATGATTAGTTTTCGAAATATTTGCAAAAAAAAAGGATTTTTGGAAATCCGTTTTTGTTTAATTTCAGCCTTGTTTGAGGAGATATTGAAAAACGAAGAACACTTTCTCATGGCCACTTTTTGCCGTCTATCGAATGGCATAATCAATTTTTATATGTAACATTTCGTCTTTCCAGAACCATCATCGACTTCATTTTTTGATATGCGACCCTGGAAATTTTATTACATTTTTTGCAAGCATTCATGACCCCCAATACTGTACTGCCTCAGCCCGAACCAGATTCAAACGTTTTGTCTCGAAAAATTCATCTTCAGTGTATTCGTTCCAAATTTATCTAAATTTTTTTATTTAGGTTTCTTTGTTTATTGAATTATCATACACTGTAAGTGTCGTTAGACCCTGTGAAATCCATCTAGTTATTTAAACTATTACTACACGCGCTACAATAGAACATTTATTATTATTATTAACTATTACCATCACTTGGTCATACATAATTCAATAAGTTGTTGCGTCAAAATTAAAACATTATTACAATTTTAATTTTATTATGACAAATTAATTCTTAAAAATGCATATGAACAACCAACACACCATCTGAATATTATTCTTTAAAAAATTTCAGTAAAGAAAAACATTTTCGTTTTGGCTAAGGTTAAAAATGAAGATCAGCATAATATTATTGGAATTTATTATATCTGTAACTGCAACTGTGAAAGAGCATGTCAGATGTATTTGTATGAATACCCTGAAAAAAATAGATCGGAATTTGTTTAAATTTTGAGCACTCGAGAAGCCTAGAAATAACTATAGTCACGGGAATAAAACTCTAATAATATTTTATTTTAATGTGTAGTGGTAATAGTTTAAATAACTAGATGGATTTCACAGGGTCTAACGTCACTTACAGTGTACGATAATTCAATAAACAAAGAAATCTAAATAAAAAATTTAGATAAATTTAAATTAAATTAAAATACAATATAATTCAATGTTGTGTGAAAAAATTGTGTTGATTTTAAGTGAACATTTTTCTCATTTTTTTTTAACGATGTATGGACTGAAAAATCTTACCTGCCAATTCCAAATCATTTTTCTCAAGGCCCATTTTGAACAGTCACCGAACAAGCACTGGTCGTTGTCTTCACGGCTTAGTTTTATATATCAAATTACGTATCTAATTAATTATCATTTACGTGTACATATAATTTACATTATAGATAAAAAGTATGTAAAATTATCTGTGCAGAAATCTTGATTTTACATTATTCAAGTAATTATTGATATGATAAAACCTCACATACCCTACTTGTGTGTAATTCGAAGTACAATTCCATTATGTAATTAAGAAATGTGAAAAAATTTCATATTTTACATTATAATAATTTCTTAATTGACACGATATACCCCACTTGGTTCTTTATCAGAATTTTATTTTAAACTCTTAAGAAAAATCACACTTCATTGCGCATACAAATTATACGTTAAATAACATTTTGCAATAAATTGTAATATATAATATTTTGAGAATACAAAATTACATGATAATAGTTAATTAATTTTTATTTATGTACAGGGTGGGTAAAATGTAACTCCCTATTGTTATATGCTAATAAATCTCTTTAGGCTATTGATTATAGGATTTTAAAAGGAACTTTTTTCGTTTGAGATATTTTATTACATGAATCGTTCAATTGGTAATTATAGATGAAAAAACCGCGGAGTGTTATTAAATTAGAGGGTGGAAATTGGAGATATGGGTGAGAATGCAGTTCTTTAATTGTAGCTCGAAAACGAAGCAAAATTTCGCTATAGTTCATAGGAAAAATTATTTAAACTGAATTTCCAATCGAAATGGCTTATTTAAAAAATTTTAAAGGAAAATTTTATGCAAAAAAATCGTTAATAAATAATTTAAAAAAAAGCAAAAAATAAGATTTTTTTATTTATTTTTTTACTTTTTTGACCCTTAAGTTGTGAAAATCTTGATTTATTATTAACAAATAAAACGTTTGAAATATTTTTTTATTAACTAAAGAACCAATTTGTTGTAAAAATAATAAGAATTATAATCATTATTATGTTAAAAACGACGAAAATCTAAAAAATATTTAAGTTTGACCGGTCGGTCAATATTAGTTCAGAAACTTTTCAAAACGTATCATTTTGAAGGGAATCTCATCGAATTTTTTTGTACAGCAATTTTCTTTGCCTACTTCTACTAAAAAAAAATATAGTCAAAAAAGGAAAAAAATCAAAACAATTTTTGTTTGTTTTTTTTTAATTGTTTATTAATGATTTTTTTCATAAAATTTTTCTTTTAAATTTTTTAAATAAGCCTCTTCTATGAGAAATTCAATTCTCTACAAATTTTTTCCTATGAACAATACCGAAATTTTTCTTCGTTTTCGTGCTATATTTGAAAAAACTGCAAAAGTGCATTTTCACCACTATCTTCAATTTCAACCCTCTAATTTAATAGCACCCAGCGGGTTTTTCGTTTCTAATGACCCTTCGAACAAGTCATGTGATGAAAATCCTTGAACGTCTTATTTCCCTCCTTTTTTGCAAAAAATGAGAATCAAAACGTATAAGGATAACCGCGACGAAAATCGAAAAATTGGCTAATTGTAAGTTTGAGCGGCCATATATCAGTCAATTTTCATCCAAAAATACTTTACAACCTCTTATTTTGAAGGAAATTTTATCTACTTTTTTTCTAAGCTGCAATGCCAATACATCTATGTCGGAACCAATTCTTGGGATGGTATCCGACAAGATGGTTCCAAAGTTTCACTTCCACAAGCCATTTGAGACTCGAATAGAGGATCAAAGCGAGTGGGAGGAAAGGTTTAATACCCTGGAAAGGTGGAGCCTAGTATGGTTTACAGATGGCTCCAAAATGACCAGAGGGACGGGTGCAGGAATATATGGACTCAGACCCAGATGGAGTGCAAGCTACAGTCTGGGGGAGTTCCCTACTGTATTCCAAGCAGAAATCTTCGCAATAATGGCGTGTCTGGCAGAGAATGTACGTAGAGGTTATAGACGTAAACTCATATATATATTCTCTGATAGTCAAGCTGCAATTAAAGCTTTAGCCGCACACAAGGTAAGTTCAAAACTGGTGTGGGACTGTTTACAAATGCTAACTGAACTGGCCACCAACAATACAGTCAGACTGTGTTGGGTGCCAGGGCACAAAGGCATTTGTGGAAATGAGAAAGCGGATGAACTTGCGAGGAAGGGATCCGAAACAGTGTTCATTGGCCCGGAGCCCTTCTGTGGCACATCTCCCAGTGTGGTCAGGCGGGCTATGGGCAAATGGACAGAGACAGAACATAGGAAATACTGGACTTCAAGGCCAGGACATAGCCATTCCAAGGAGCTTATGGCTTATCCTTCGAATGGAAGAGCGATTGAGTTACTGAGCTTGAATAGAATCCGGCTCAGGAGAGTGACAGGACTCATAACGGGACACTGTCACTTTAAGAAACATCTACATAGACTAAAGCTTGTAGACAGTCCGGTCTGCCGAGGATGTGAATCGGCGGATGAAACTTCTCTGCATATCCTGGGCGAGTGCCCGGGATTTGCACGTAGCAGAATGGCTCTCGTTGGGCGACCCTATTTGGAACCCAAGGAGCTGAGAGAAGTGTCAGCAAGGAAGCTTTTGGACTTTGTAAAAAGGACAAATCTACTTGCTGAATAGGACTAGTAGTGGGACGCACAATAGGCCTAATTAGGCCGCAGTGCTATGGGACTTTTAAAGGACCAACCACTAGATGATGAAGATGAAGATGAGGAAGCTGCAATGCCTAGAGGTACCTCTTTACTCAAAAAAAATTAAAGGCAAAAAAATAAAAAAATCGAATTTTTTTCAAATTGTTTATTAACAATTTTTTGCATAAAATTTGCGTTTTAAATTTTTTTAATAAACCATTTCGATGGCAAATTCAATTCTTTAAATAATTCTTTTTATGAACTATAGCGAAATTTAGCTTTCGAGCTACAATTAAAAAACTGAAAGGGGTGCATTTTCACCCCTATCTCCAATTTCCACCCTCTAATTTAATAGCACTCCACGTTTTTTTTCATCTAAAATGACCCTTTGAACGATTCATGCAATAAAATTGCTTGAACGTCATAGTTCCTTTCAACACTGTTTCTTTTTATATAATCAATAGCGTATTAGTTTATTTAACAGAAACAAGTCTTACTGTTTAGTTTAACATGGGAGAAATCCTATGGATTAACTTAAAACTCCAATGCACAGGCATTTTCAACCAGTGTTTGTAACCGATGGAGGATATTATCGATTGATTTTTGCAGGAAGTGACGACATGGCGAATACGGTCTTCCAGGTCATTTAGAGTTACTGGTTTGGTGCGATAAACCTCTTCCTTCGCCCAATCTCACAGAAAGAAGTCACATGAAGTGAGATCAGAGTTCCGTCACTCATGCGGACCATGACGACACAATCAACGTCCAGGATAATTTCGGTCCAGCCACTCACTGACGTCGAGTACAAAATGAGGTGGGGCTCCGTCTTGCATCAAAATCATATCAACGTAGCATGATCTCTCCATACTCCATTCGATGGTCACAATCTTCCGACGATAGCTGTTGACAGTAATGTGGTTTCCACGGACGGAAATTTAACTATTTTTTTAGAACATTTCTCATGGTGAGGCGGGAGAGACCACTTTCACGAGCAGATTGTCTTGTTGATTTCTGAGAGCACATTTTCCTCTAACCTGGATGTCGAAGGACGACCACTTCAACGAATATCCAATGTATTCATCTGTTTATCATCACAGTTCTTGATGGTCTTTGGATTCAATGTAGAACAAGGCCCTGCCACTGTTCACCACCATCTCTGTACCTGCACCTGCAAAATATTGATATATACAAAAATTAAAAACACATTGCAATAGGGCTTTTCACCTGCCCTGTATTATAGCTTTTTTTAGTTGGTTGTCTGTCATATGTCATAATGAAACTTCTGAATGCTTGTCCACTTAGTAAATAGATTATTTACATGACCTTTCCAGAATGGACCTTCGTCGCATGCTCCTCTCGTAGCATGTAGTAAAGTAAAATAATAATTATTTTGGCCATTTTTTAAGACAAAGTAACTGCTGAGTTTTATCTGGATTAAGAGCTAAATTATTTACTGAAAACCAGTGCCATCTCATTAATAATCGAATTAAAGTCCATCGAATAGTGACATTTGTATTAAACATAGTGGTATCATGCGTTTCTTTGGCGACATTAAATATGTAAAATCATTTACATGGATTAAAAATAAATGTGGTCCTAGTACGGAGCCCTGAGGTACTCTGTATTGAACCAGTTGAATATCAGTATAAATTTCATTAATTGAAACAAATTGTTTACTTAAATTTTTTTGCAATAATAATGGTGGTAGTTCTCTTATCCCATAATGTTCCGATGTTGTATTAATTATTATATTTAGTCTATTATGTGAAACATAGTCGAAACCCATAACCCTATGAGACTGGAATAACCTTGGAACCAAGACTAAGTAACCCTAAGTAACTAGCAAAACTGCATGTGTCGAACATGGATTGTGTATGAAAATACAATTGTATTCAAAATGTACTTGCAGTTTTTTGAGTGTTTGTGTTTTGAATTAAGTACTCTTAACCTGCAATTAGCGTTTATGTATTCTGTCTCCCTGATGTTATCAAGATCAGACTTGTTCTGTTATAAGTATATCGTTGACTCAGACAAGAATATCGTATATTTTCTTCGCTTTTGCAAAATTAAACTATAATAATGTGATGGCTAATATAATTGTCAATGTATTTATTATGCATTTATTATTTTTGGATTTTTAACTCATTTTGAATTACTTGATACAATTTTATTCCAAAGCTCATTTTCTGAATGACCCGCCACTAAACAAACAAATACTTATCTATAGGTATATCATCTAGTTTAATTGCTGAAGTCGACACAATACAATTAAATCTCCAATCATGATTTTTAATTGTATTGATTATTGTTTACTGTATGGTATTTTGCAAATATTTGTGTCGATAAGTGTAATAATCTACATGTAATAATATTATCAGATCGCGAAATTATCATTGTTAGTTACATTTCTACTGTTACCATTAATGTAAATAAGATGTATCGCTCTTTTCTTAGTACCTACTATTTTTTAGTATCTATCGACTGATTCGTTATCTGAAATTATTTTAAGCGCTTTGTCGTTAAAAAGAGTGTCTGGAATTTGTCAATAAAACGAATTGAATTTATTTTGTCTCCTTTAAAATTGTCTCCATTTGAAGCAATAAACTTTCTCCAATGAACAACTAGTTGTCGAAGCACTTTTTACACGCATATTCCGCTATGGACTTCAACTCCTTAGCGATTTTTGTTTTGTGGCTATTATCGCCTCGAAACATGTTCCATGAAGTGGTAATTTGAGTTTAGGAAAGAGGATAAAGTCAGCAGGGTCCATATCCGGCGAATACTGTGGCTGCTCCATGAGTTTTTGGTCAAAAATTCATTCACAATTATCGCTTTGTGTGATGGTGCATTATCGTGGTGCAAAATCCAAGAGTTGTTCTTCCGATTTTTTGCGGCGGATACACTCACTCTCTCTCTCTCAAACGCCTCATAAGGAGTTATGTGTGGACAATAGCACGATAGTCAACATGAATTTGGTTTTTGATAGACTTTAACGTGTTTTGTTTTTGTTTCGGCTCATTAGAAAAGCACCATTCTTTGTTGGCTCGTTTGCAGATCAAACTCATAAACCCATGTTTCGTCACCCGCTATGATGCGTTGCATGAAGATAGAGTCCGAATTAACTCGTTCAAGCATGTCTTCAGCAACTTGTTGTGCTCTTTTGAAAAAAGTTCAGCTCGTTTGGAACCAGCCGTGCTGCGACGCGTTTTATACCCTAAACATCAAGTAAAATGGTGCAAACTGATCCGTAAGATATGAAATGAAATGAAATGAAATAATGACGGTTTGCAAGCACCATTTCCTTCACTTTATCGATATTTTCTTCAGTTGAAGATGTTGAAGCACGACCAGAACGTGGCATATCTTCAATCAATTCTCGACCGTGTTTAAATGCTTTGTACCATTCGCAAACTTCAGTTTTCGATAAAACTGAATTACCGTACATCTTTCCTGACATTTTCAATGATTCAACACAAGAAATTCCGTTGATGGCAAACTGTTTGTTCAATAACATCATCCATAGTAAAAATAGCTGTTAAAGCTGTAAAAAAAATTACTTGACAGATCGCGCTCAAACTTCGCGTCAAAATAAAGTCGCAGATAAATTGTTACCATCTTCAGCAGATCCTACGGAACTTGCCAATAATACAACGTGCGCAGTAAACTTAAACAATTACAGCAGCAGCCTCATTGTACACCCAGAACTAAAAGCTACGATAACTGACAGCACTGGATCTGGCAACTCACTGCGGCACTTTCAATTTACATATAATGCGAAATCAATTGTAATCGTCCTGTTTGTAATAGTTACTGTTTTGTTTGAAATGTTATATTACTTAAAATGTATATTATTTAATTAATAAAATCATAAATAAGTTTCGAAAAAATTACAAATTATTTTGACGTTTGTTTTATGTTCTAGAATGAAAAAGACTTTGGCGTTCTAGAACATAGAAGTATTTTGTAGTTAGGTGACAATAAGACTCACTTTGTCAACTGAAAATTTAACGAAAATGTCGACTTTTGATAACAGTTTTCGAAAAAACTACTTTACGCTGAAATTTTAAATGACAGAATGTACATTTTCGCACCTGGTCCACCTAAATTGGTTCTAACAAATTAGATATTTTTTGAGACGGTTCGTTCTTTCTCTTATTTCTTTCTTTCTTTCTTATTTCTTATTATCTGGTGGAAAATGATTTCCGGGTTGGTTGCCATGCGTCGTCGATTTACAACTCTTGACGTTTCGAGAGACATATCGCTCTCTTCTTCAGAAGTTACTCTGAAACTATTCTCATTTCTTATTATTTCTTATTTTCTTTCTTATTTGCCTTATTCTATCTTCTGGTTTCATCGATACAAAATATGAGAAGCTATCATTTTTACGAATTGTTCTAATTCACATGTCAATTTAAAAATCTAGGCAGAAAAAATATGTATGTACGTGTTCTACTACATCCTGATAATAAGTGAAGTTGAAAAAGTTAAGTGGCCTCATTTTCCGACGATAAAAGCCAAAATACTTCATGAACAAAAAAAAAAACAAATGTTATCTGGTAATAATCCGGTTTTTGATAGATGTGAATTTAAAATATTTGTTTTTAATAAATTAAATGAAATTAAATGTCAATGAAACCTAACTTGATAAAATTTATGTGGATGTTGTAACATTATGAAAGTTGGTTATTTTGAAACGAAAAACTGAGGCTTTCCTATTTTCTGTTTGAAAAACTAGTAACTACAACTATGTAAATAAAGAAAATGAATACCTCTATCGAAATATAATTAAATTATTTTACAAGAAAAAACAACAGATACTAACAAAATATTCAATATATAATTTAAAACTCTTAACAACAACTGTATATACAAAATGAGCACAATAATTAATAAAATATTATTCCACGGATTGTACAGTGAACATGTCTCCTCTTGCAATGGTAGGAACTGAAACAATAATAGAAAAAACATAAAAGAGTCAGTCTTTGATCACAATCACATTAAATACGCATACAGTGTAAATAAAATAAAAAAGTTTCTGTAAATATGTGGGCGAAAACGATATACAGACTGTTCAAAATTAATGAAAAGGTGTAGTTTGTTTCAAGTTACAAAAAAAGCAGTTGAGGAAAATCGTACCAAATAATACTATATTTCATTCATGGATAACGTGATCACTTGAAGTATTATTGTAATTATTTCAAAGATAACTTGATGTCGTAGCGCATAGTAATACATATACAGAGTGGTATGTCACAAAGTAGACTATGGTAATAATCATAGAAAACCATGTAAAATTTTGGTCAATTGGGCAGGGATTCCTAAAATTTCGTATGCATGGAGCTACCACAATTTCCAGCAAGTTGCTTTGTTTAGCCGCTAGAAGTTATCAAAGTTATAAGAGGTTGTAAAGTATTTTTGGATGAAAATTGACTGATATATGGCCGTTCATACTTAACAATTAGCAAAATTTTCGATTTTTCGTGTTTACCCTTATACGTTTTAATTCTCATTTTTTGTAAAAAGGAAGGAAATAAGACGTTCAAGGAATTTCATCACATGACTTGTTCGAAGCTTCATTAAAAATGAAAAAACCGAGGGGTGCTATTAAATTAGAGGGTTGAAATTGAAGATAGGGGTGAAAATGCTCTTTTGCAGTTTTTTAAATATAGCACGAAAACGAAGCAAAATTTCGGTATAGTTCATAGGAAAATTTTTGTAGAGAATTGAATTTCCCATCAAAATGGCTTATTTAAAAAATTTAAAAGAAAAATTCGTTAATAAACAATTTAAAAAAAGCAAAAAATAAGATTTTTTGAGTTTATTTACTTTTTTGACTAATTTTTTTTAGTAGAAATATGCAAAGAAAATTGCTGTACAAAAAAACTGAGATTCCCTTCAAAATTTTGCGTTTTCAAAAGTTTTTGGACTAATATTGACAGTTATAACCGGTCAAACTTAGATATTTTTTAGATTTTCCTCGTTTTTAGCATAATATGTATTTTTTAAATACACATCCAACAGGTGATGCCCTGTTGATATAGGATATGTTAAGTCTAGTAATAAAATATAAAAAAGTTAAAAGAGAGAAAAATTAACTATAAAAAATAGAGAAAAATAAATAAAAATAGTACAAACTTACAAATAACACAAAAAAAAGAACAAAATAAAAAGGCAAACAAACTATAAAAGACAGATATAACTACATAAGTAAAGCATTTTTTATATCATTAGCCAAACAACAAAAAAGATCGACATTATTTTCTAACTCACTGTACTTGGAAACAATTTGATACAATGATGATGCTACTAGGATGTTAATGATGATTATAATTTTTATTATTTTTACAACAAATTGGTTCTTTACTTTACAAAATTATTTCAAAAGTTTTATTTGTTAATAATACATAAATAAAGATTTTCATAACTTAGAGTCAAAAAAGTAAAAAACAACAAAAAATTTTATTTTTTGCTTTTTTAAAATTGTTTATTAACGATTTTTTGCATAAAATTTTTCTTTTAAATTTTTTAAATAAGCCATTTCGACGGGAAATTCAATTCTCTTAATAAATTTTCCTATGAACTATAGCGAAATGTTGCTTCGTTTTCGAGCTACAATTAAAAAATGAAAGGGGTGCATTTTCACCCCTATCTCCAATTTCCAGCCTCTAATTTAATAGTACTCCGCGGTTTTTTCATGTAAAATGACCATTTGAACGATAAATATAAATAAATAAATATAATATATAATAATATATAATAAAATATATTGAACGTCATCAATATATATTAAAATCCTATAGCTCCGTCTGCGTCGCACGATCGGCCCGAAAAAGAGCGATTTCATGAAT